AGGTTGAGGCAGCATTCAGCAACGATTACATACCGAGAAGTGTTGTACGAGGGTTGCTCCATAATTTTTTTTAAAAACATATATAACACAGTTGTTTTTTGTCGAAAATGGTTTTATTGTTTTTCAAAATATTCCCCGAGATGATCGATACACTTTTGCATTCGATGAAACCATTTGTCATAGCATTCGTGCCACTCCGAAACTGATATCTCCAAAACGTGTGTTTTGAACGCTTCAACTGCTTCTTCTGGTGTCGAAAATCGTTGACCACGTAGTTTTTTCTTCACGCTTGGGAACAAAAAAAAGTCATTGGGTGCCAGGTCAGGACTGTACGGTGGATGACCCATCAGTTCGATGTTTTGACCGGTCAAAAATCGAGTAGTTTGAAAAGATGTGTGAGAGCTCGCATTATCGTGATGAAGAATTATTTTGCGACGGTGGTTGTTTTTTCTTATTTCACCAAACACTTCGGGCAAACAAATGGTGGTATACCAATCAGAATTGACGGTCTTACGATCCTCTAGTGGAACGGTTGCCACATGACCACTTCTCCCGAAAAAACAGGCGACCATTCGCTTCGAAGTGCTTCTTGCTCGAACAACTTTCGTTGGGTTATCTTCATTTTGGAAGACCCATACAGTCGACTGCTGTTTCGTTTCGGGCTCATACGCGTAGATCCATGATTCGCCACCAGTGACGATTTTATTAACGTCTTTTGAAGCACCACGATTGAATTTCTTGAGCATTTCTTTACACCAACTCACACGAGCCATTTTTTGTTCATCGGTCAATTTATGTGGGATCCAACGAGAGCAAATCTTTTTTACGGCTAAATGTTCATGCAAAATTGTATGTATGCTGTGGGATGAAATGCCCAAAGATGCCTCAATCTCACGGTAGGTCACATGACGATCTTCCATAATCAGTTTTCTGACAGCATCGATGTTTTGTGGCACAACAGCCGATTTTGGACGACCTGTATGAAACTCGTCTTTGAGCGAACTACGACCGCAACGGAATTCTCGGTACCAGTTATAAATTGTCTGAAGGGTTGGTGCTTCATTGCCAAAGGCCAAATGAAGTCGATCGAAACACTGTTGTTGAGATAATTTACTTCGAAAATCGTAGTAAATCATTTTACGAAAATCTTCACGTGTAAAATTCATTTTTTTGTTGAGTCGCAGTTTACCAGTCACTGTAAACAATACAAATAGCGTTCGTACGACAAAAGGTTCAGGGCACGAATACATACCAAAACATCAAACTTTACGAATATGACAATGGTTTACATCGGGCAACACTATAAGTACCATTTTAAAAAAAATTATGGAGCAACCTACGTATTGGTCTAGATTGAAAGACATCACATTTTTGGATTGCCCCGCTACATTTATGAATTTATTTATTTGAATTATGCATATTATGATTGGTATTAATGAGATGTATCGAAATAAGGAATAAATATTTAATTTCGTAAAATAGGGCGGTGAGGCGGCTCACTGTCAATGTCCCCCAAATTATCCATTATCCAACATCCATGGATAGATTTTGTTTTTAAAAGGACTGGATAAGTAATATCCATGGATGTTTTTTTAATGGATAAGGTACATCCACCATCCATCATAAATTTATTCATGAAGAAAAGAAAGAGAGAGATCCACTTGGATAGAGGAGAGTTATAGTGCATCCATGGATAGAATAGATGTTAGTTTATCCATGGATGAGTTATATTTTATGGATAAATAAATAAGTTGGATTTCAAAAACACGAATGAATGGATAAAAACTGTACATCTCATTTGACATTTCATGTGAAGTATTCGATTAGTATATAGAAATATTGGATGACGGGTGAAACATCTGATTCATTCTGGATTTGACAAGACAGATCAACGAGTTTCAATTTTCAGTTAAAAACATGTATTCTATTTTTTGTCTGCATTTTTATTTCAGTTCGAATTGTTGACATTTCTTATTCTGAAGTTTAATTCATTAAGTTAATTGGATGTTGGGTGGTTTATTCATTAATCCAGCGTCCAATCACATCAAGGAATGATTTTTGATGATATTTTTATGATTCGTTGAACATTATATTTTTTGTATTAAGTTTTTTGAACATTTTTAGAATGAAGATAAATAACATTAGATAAAAATATATCAATGGATACTGTATCCATGGATGTTGTACGATGTACGCAAACATTTGTAAACACGATAACCTTCCCCCCGAAACTTTATATAAAATCTGACTTTACAGGATGATTAGGGGTTGCGACTCGCAACTTGCGAGGAATAGAAACCATTAGATTTTGAAGGACTTTGGTTGATAGAGTGAAATTTCATGACTGAAGTGATGCCCATGAGAAAAATTCCAATTTCATGTGAAGTATTCGACCATTTCTATATATATTGGATGATCGATGAAACATCAGATTTATTTTGTGTTACATACAAAAGAAAAAACATGTAGTTTATTTTGTGTGTTTATTTTTATTTAAGTTTGAATTAATTTTGTTGACAATTTTTATTCTTATTCTGAAGTTTAATTCATTAAGTTAATTGGATGTTGGATGGTTTATTCATTAATCCAGCGTCCAATCCCATCGAAGTTTGAAAGTGATGCAAATGAGTGGAGACACTAAGAAGCCAGTGAGAGTGCTCTCTAAGAACTCAAAACATTCGAGAGTTTGGAAAAATATTGAAAATTGCCGATTTGGCAGAGGGGCATGTGATTTGAAATCATTAGTTCGAAAGGAGGTATTTATATGAAGGTTAAGCCAATTCTACGTACTAAAAGTCAAGATTGAAAGTTGTGCAAATGAGTGGAGACACTGAGAAGCCAGTGAGAGTGCTCTCTAAGAACTCAAAACATTCGAGAGTTTGAAAAAATATTGAAAATTGTCGATTTGGCAGAGGGGCATGTGATTTGAAATCATTAGTTCGAAAGGAGGTATTTATATGAAGGTCCAGCCAATTCTACGTACTAAAAGTCAAGATTGAAAGTTGTGCAAATGAGTGAAGACACTGAGAAGCCAGTGAGAGTGCTCTTTAAGAACTCAAAACATTCGAGAGTTTGAAAAAATATTGAAAATTGTCGATTTGGCAGAGGGGCATGTGATTTGAAATCATTAGTTCGAAAGGAGGTATTTATATGAAGGTTAAGCCAATTCTAGGTACTAAAAGTCAAGATTAAAAGTTATGCAAACGAGCGGAGACACTGACAAACTAAGGAGACTCTCTAAGAACTCAAAACATTCGAGAGTTTGGAAAAATTTTAAAAATTGTCGATTTAGCAGAGGGACATGTGATTTGAAATCATTAGTTCGAAAGGAGGTATTTATATGAAGGTTAAACCAATTCTAGGTACTAAAAGTCAAGATTAAATTGTGCAAATGAGTGGAGACACTGAGAAGCCAGTGAGAGTGCTCTCTAAGAACTCAAAACATTCGAGAGTTTGAAAAAATATTGAAAATTGTCGATTTGGCAGAGGGGCATGTGATTTGAAATCATTAAATCGAAAGGAGGTATTTATATGAAGGTTAAGCCAATTCTAGGTACTTAAAGTCAAGATTGAAAGTTGTGCAAATGAGTGGAGACACTGAGAAGCCAGTGAGAGTGCTCTCTAAGAACTCAAAACATTCGAGAGTTTGAAAAAATATTGAAAATTGACGATTTGGCAGAGGGGCATGTGTTTGGCAGAGGGGCAAAACAGAATAATCACCTGATTTTATTTACTTGAAAATATTTCAGTGATACGTATATTTCTCATTCGAATAAGAGCAAAAACGACTGAAAATTACATTCTCGTCTATACATCAAATTTTATTGTTTGCTATATTATCTAGAACCGTGTAAACTGTTTAAATTATTATTAGAATGAATTAAATAAGTATATCTGATATGGTAATTAAATTAGTCTCTTTTTCAATATTCATAAAATTATCGCACTATTTTCATTGACTAGATTCATTTTGACTAATTGAGCGATGTCGATCGAAACAATGAACAAACTTTACACGCAAAATGAATAAAAAGCATTTTTTTACACAAACAGAACTATACTATAAAAAAAAACTAAAAGAAAAGAATCAGCCATACAGCTAATGAGTTCTTGTCGTTGTATTGTTAAATGAACATCAATTAATGGTCAAGAAATTTAGACTTTAGTTTTTTGTTTTGTTTGAGGAGGTTTCTTCGGCTGCAGCATTTGCAATGGATCACGCCGGTATCGTGCATAGATTTCCTTTTTAAAGACTTCAAATTGTTTGCGATTCAAATTATTTTGTCGTTCACGCCAAGCGGGCCGACTTTTTTTACTTTGCAAACCGTTATGTAACGTAAATATCGGTGTCAGCACTTGAAACTGATAGCCAGCCACAAACATTTCATATACCTGAAAAAATGAAGATAAAATAAGTTGCTAGAGAATTGAATTTAGATCAAATAGCTAAATGAATGAAACTATTTACCTGAGTATTCCGTGTAAAACCATATCCTAAGAATCGTTCATCGTGCGGTGGTACTGCGTCAGTTGAAACATAAAATGGTTCGTACAAAAATTCAAAATTTGTCACATTGTGACTTATAATGGTTTCATCTTGTGCAGAACCACCGGTTGCTTCCCATCTACGTAGAAATAAAAGGAATAAAAATACACGTAGAAAAGTTTTTCAAATATTTACAGTCAATCGCTTACTTACTTCGAAAAATTCGTGGCATATTGGTTGTAGATAAAAACTTTTTGATGAAATGGTCGTGCTAGACCGCGTTTCGACAGTCGCAGTAAATCGGTTTTGGTATGTGGAAATTTGGCACGATTGTCAATTTCATATGTCGGCACCACATAAGCGCATTTCGCATTATTATTTGAGCATTGTGTTTTACGTAAAAATTTGTCTAGGTTTTGTGTGAAATTGATACTCGGTATAATATCAATGTCAGTTAGAAAAATATAATCACTTTGGCAACCTTTGCGAGCCACATTTCGCAAGTGATTTTGTGGATAGGGATTTTTTAGGCGCCATTTTATCGTATCGGTGGTGCGAAATTTCATAAGTTTTTTTAACGTTAGCTCCGGTTGATCGCATACAAAATTAGTATAATCACTTTTTAAAAATTTGCGCACCATTTTTGGTGCACGTTTAATTGGATAGGCCAAATGAATGGTGACCGCATCGCGTATTGGAGCAAAACAATTTTGTAAATATGATAAGTAGAGCTGTAGCAAATAGAGTTCATCGTCTCCAGCAACGAACACAGCCAACGAAATTGGACCAGTCCAACGATTTGCTACACTTACCAACGAATATAAACGTTCTAATGAACTTTGTGTTGCTAAGCATACTTTGTACTTTTTCGTTAACTCATCAAAACGATTTCCAATGACAGCAAAGTCAAAATATTTGTATTGACGACTGTTGTCCTAGGAAAAATAAAATCAAAAACATATTTTGTATTTTGGACTGTTATTTAACACTGTACAAGGATTATAAATTCGATTATGTACCCATCGTCCATGCATTAGATTCAATCGATCGAACACCAAACGATGTGATTGATTTCCTAGGGTTAATTACAAAAAAAGAATAGAAAAAATGGGTATTAATAAACATGTAATGGGTCTGTAATGGGTGTAATGGGTAATATTAAATTTTTTTTAAATCTATACAATATAGAATAAAAGCAACAATAACATTCATTGCTTAGATTTGAGATTTGGTAGTAGTAGTAGTAGTAGTAGTTGAGTTTAACGC